AAAAAAAAAATTAATATATATAGTCCAAATTTTGCAGAAAGCCATGGACCAATCTCCAATGTCCATCCACAGATGTCAGACTAAGAACCCTACAGTGTCACTGCAAAGAAAAGAAGTATAGCTTCTGCCTCTGGTCCACTGACCCCATGAGGATAATGAAGAGGTGCCACTTTCCTTGGGCTCCCATTCACAGATGCCTTCCCTGTATCTTTTCTCTTATAGCATGTGACTGCAGCTAGCTTCTGAATGATCATTATTAAGGTATCCACTAATAAATAGTAAGTTAGGAAGATCCTTCAGTAATGACATCTATAAGACTTAATTGAGAAAGTAGTATATCTGGTATTAGCACTCCATTTCACCTTCAAGGGAATAGTTCTATCACGATTTGACAATCATTTGAAAAGAAAAGTTTATTTAATCCACCATCTAAAAATAGTTTTAAAAGGCATAATGTAAATAAAAATGTAGATGTACATAAAATGGAGATATTAAGGAATAATTTTAACTAAAAAGCTAATTGAGAGGAAAATAGAATACTAAAAAAAAAACATGCAAAAGAAGGCAAGAAAAGAACAAAGAACAAATTAAAAACCCAACTATATTAGGAATTACATTAAATGTAAATGAACTAAGCACTAGTTAAAAGGCAAAGATTTCAGTTTGGATTACCAAGAAAAAGACAAAATTATACAATATATAAAAGATACACTCTAAATATAGATACACTCTAAATATAAAAAGTTTAAAAGGAATAGGTTGTTGAAAACATGATCCTATCTCCACTGCATTATATTGCCAGATTTATCATAAGTTAGATGACTATTTCTCAGTGGATCTGTTTGTGGGCTCTATTCTGTTCTATTTATCTATTTATCTTTGGCCAACACCACATTATCGTTATTACTCTAACTTTCTTAGTTGCTGTTCTAGAACCTCTGTATTTTCATATGCAATCATCCGCCACATAATGACATATTGGTCAACAATGGACCACATATATGACAGTACTCCTAGAAGATTACAGCGAAGCTAAATAATTCCTAGTAATGTCATAAAATCATAAAGTGAAAAATTACTTTTATAAAATAATTTACTGTAGCCTATGGGTACAAAGTTTGTAATGTCTACAGAAATGTACAGTAGCATCCTAGGCCTTCACATGCACTCACCCTCACTCACTGACTCACCCAGGGCAACTTCCAGTCCTGCAAGTTCTATTCATAGTAAGTGTCCCATTCAGGTGTACCTTTTTACCTTTTTTACCTTTAATGGTGTATTTTTACAGAAACTTTTCTATATTTAGATACACAAATACTTAGCATTGTTTTACAATTGGATACAGTAACACACTGTACAGGGATGTAGCCTAAGAGCAATAGACTTTACTGCACAGCCTAGGTATGTAGTAAGCTGTATTCTCTAAGTTTGTGGAAGTACACTCTATGATGTTCATAATGACAAAATTGCCCAATACATTTCTCAGAAGGTATCCCTGTCATTAAGTGACACAACTGTAATTTTAAAGCTTACCAATGTCCCCTATCCCTCCTCCACCAAATAAACAACAAAAAACCTTGCTGGAATTTTGACAGTAATCAATTTGGGGAAGAATTAAGATAATTACATTGTTTTCCAGTCCATGAATATTATATATTGCTCCATCTATACAGGCATTGAATTTTTCTGAGCAATGTTTTGTAGTTTTGAGTATAGAGTCCTGCAAATCTTTTGTTAGGTTTATTCCCAGGCATTTGATGCTATTTTAAATGGTATCTTTTAAATTTTCACTTTTTAATTGTTTGTTGCTACTTTATAGAAATAGAGTTGATTTTTTAAATATTGATCTTACATGTATTTGGCAACCTTGCTAAATTCATTTATAAAAGTGGTAACATCGGACATCCTATCATGCTTCTAATCTCAGGGGAGCAGGTATCTCTGGAAGGATAAAATGGATCGCCTCTGGGAAGGAAACTAATTAGGTGGGGGACAAAGATTGAAAGGTCTGGCCGGCGCGGGGGCTCACGCCTGTAATTCTAGCACTTTGGGAGGCCGAGGTGGGTGGATCACCTGAAGTCAGGAGTTCAAGACCAGCCTGGCCATCATGGTGAAACCTCAACTTTAAAAAAAAAAAAAAAAAAGATTGAAAGGTCTTATTAATTATTTATTTTTTGAAAACCATATGAATATAGGGTAATCCTTATTTTAAGATATAATTATCAGTGCTATCAGGTTGGTGTCAAAAAAATAAATTTTTTTAAATTAAGTTACAAAAGCAAAGATTTCAGAATTGAGTACATAAAGATTTTAAGATTTTGATTTGTCATAAGCATAAGGAACTTACCCATACTGTGTTGTTGTCAATACTGCTCCTCTCTTTTCCTTTTCAAGTTTTAACTTTTTCTTCCTTTCAATATTGGCCAGAGTTGGATAGTTTCTAGAAAATAATAAAAGTTAATTATAATAGAGCATTTTGAGTACAGCTTTAAATAAGCAATCAAGAAATTGCTGAATTTAGAAATTTGGTTAACAGCCAATACAACAAATCATTATAAACCTTTAAGTGCTTCTACAATTTTTTAAGAGGTGAAAAAAGTACATTATAACAATGTTACTGAAAGTGTGGACCAGCTGCTGATCCACAAATTTTGCTAGCAGTCTGCAACTAGATAAGGAGCGTGCCCTAGAATTTAAATCAAATATATCATAAACATGCTCAAACTGATCTAATTCATCTATTTGGCATGTACCTATAAATACTTTAAGAAAAAATTTAAGTCTATTCAATTTCTTATGCAAATACATGCTAAGTATATCAAAGTTACCAAGATGAGGAAAAGACAGTTCTCAAAATAGTCTACCAGGACAAGAAGAAAAGCACACAAACAGCTAAAACATGAGACAAAAGTACCCAAAAGGGTATAAAGATTTGGACAGTGGAAGGGCAAGATTATATTTAATTGGAAAAATCCATAAAGAAAAGAAATGAAAGAAATTGATCTTAAATGGTAACAGAAATCAGAGTGTGCTAAGTGGAGCAAACAATGCAAACCAAGACTTCAGAAAGTGAAAAAGACCAGGCGTGGTGGCTCATACCTGTAATCCTAAATCCTAACACTTTGGGAGGCCAAGGTGGGTGGATCACTTGAGGTCAGGCGTTCGAGACCATCCTGGCCAACATGGTGAAACCCCACCCATACTATAAAAATTCAAAAAATTAGCCAGGTATGGTGGCAGGTGACTGTAATCCTAGCTACTCAGGAGGCTGAGGCAGGGGAATAGCTTGAACCCAGGAGGAGGAGGTTGCAGTGAGGCAAGATCGTGCCATTGTACTCCAGCCTGGGCAACAGAGCAAGACTTTGTCTCACAAAAAAAAAAAAAAAAAAAAAATCAGAAAAAAAAAAAAAAAAAAAAAAAAAAAAAAAAAAAAAAAAAAAAAGAAAAAGAAAAAGAAAGAGATATCTGGAGAATGGTAAGTACTTAATATGGTATGAAACACAGTCACAGGCAATCAGACTGGAAAGGGAGACACAGGCCAAAATGTGCCTTGAATACTACACTAGAAAGTTTATATTTAATTCAGCAGGTGATGGAGAGCCACAGAAAGTTATGAACAGGGAGAGACATATACAAGGCAGTGATTAAGATGAAATCTGACAGAAGTATGAAAGATGAATTGCTTTATTTTTCTGCATAGCTGTGTGGAGATGCAGACACCAAACTTTTGGGGTGAGGGCAATAGATTCTAGTCATATAAAAAACACAGAAGGGGGGGAACACAGCTCTCTACTACTAAGTCTGGCTGCTGATCAAAGTAAATTTTTTTTTTTTTTTTTTTTTAAAGACGGGGTTTCACCATGTTGGTCAGGCTGGTCTTGAACTCCCGACCTCAGGTGATCCACCTGCCTTGGCCTCCAAAGTGCTTGGATTAGAGGCATGAGCCACCACGCCTGGCCAATCAAAGTAAATTTTGAGAAACATCAACAAATGTGCTTTGTCACTGCTTCTAGAACACTTCTCTACCTTTCTCCTTTTTTTAACATTTGCATTACTGACTTGAATAGCACAGACAATATATAAAGCCTATGGGTGGGCCACACTGAAAGACAGCAATGGAAATGACATTGGGCAAGTGGTTAAGTAATCAGAAAAAAACGCAATGAATTTCAATGAGGACAGTGTGAAGCAATATATATCCAGTCAAGAAAAATAGACTCCATAAATAAAAGATGATGAATGTACAAACTATAAATAAACATAAGAGGAAAAGATCAAGGTCATAGGAGATAAAAATCTGACAGCCAGTCAGCAACACATGACTACATTTTTGGAAAGCAAATATCATCTAAGGTTATGTGAAGTAGACTCTGGCACTTGCACGAGTGTGAAATCTTCTTCCCAGGATACTCAAAAGTAGTCAGATACTCTCAGGGACTGTGTCCAGTTTCATATTTCTAAACTAAAGGAACATGGAAGGAAAAAAAAAAAGACTTGGAAGGGATTCAGAAGAGACTCAAAGATGATTAACAGGATGAAAAATAAAACCTCCAAAGAAAGATGAAAGGAACCGTTTGCAGCCTTTAAAAGAAGATGAGAAGCTACAAGAAAAACAGTTTCACAGAGAGGATTGGTCCAGTGGTTCTCAAGCTGAAGAGAATATGCAGAAGTAGAAATGAGAATATAATGATGACTTTGACAGCCCCCACAGTGGCAAGACATGTAACTTACAGCTACTAAACATCCTCTACAACTCTCAAAACTTCTTATTACTTACGTTTCTTCAACATTTTTGCAGAGTATTGCAGACTCTTACCATGTTGGGCCATATGCTACACGAGGTGCCAGAGAGCAGATGCTAAGTAACTGCTTTTCAATAGGAAAGAATTTAAACTTGTTATAGCAAGTGGACTTTAGAGAAGATATAAGAAAGAATTCCCTAAATGAAACATCAAAGATTTGCAGAAACTCCTTTGGTGGAAGCCTTTTAAAACAGCTGATTTTCTCTTTCTGGTAGACTGCAGTATCATGTTCGTAAAGGTAAGGAAATTTGTCTTCCTAAAATTAAGTATCACATTCCTAAAGGTATTAAGATTGGAGTTAAAAAAGAGGTGTAGGGTTTTATTTTTCTTGGTGCTAAACTCAATAAAATCCTCTCCCAAAATTTATTCCATTCTTATTTATACAGAATCCAGAGATTTAAAACTAGGGGGAAAAAAAAGTTGACAGAAAGCAAATTAACCCAAAAAAGAGAAATCAGAAACACAAGACTTAGTAACACACATAAACAACAGGAGGAAGCCCCACTCCACCAACATAAAGCTAAGAAAAGTGAATAAGGAAAAGAAAGGAGCTCTGATGAAGGAGTTCAGGTTCCCAATGTACAAGAAATAACAAATCCAAAACCTATTGAAAAAAACACAAATTATGTCTTACACTGCAGTTACATATATGTAAAACTTAGTCCATATCCCCTGCTAGAGAATGGATAATATGAAGTTATAAAGACTGTGACAAGAAAAATTTTCAGTTGGTTTCTCTATATTTTTATCTACTAAAATTATTTTCTCCCTGTACTTCTATCTTTCCCCAGTTCACTAAAATGAAATGGTCTTGAAACCATGCTCTTTTCCCTCCTCTCTTCTTTCTTTCATTTTTTACCTCATCTTCACCTTCTGCATTGCCTATACTTTATGCCCCCAGTGACAGTCTTTAAGCACTAGAAAGCCAACACATGGGCAAACTGTGCTAACCATTATCTTAGCACAGAATCATTCTGGTCACATTATTCTCTCCACTTTTTTCCTTATGCTCAAATCATGACCATTTATTGGCTTTTCCCCTCTTCCCACTTTTATTGAACCACAACTGCTTCCACACAAGCTACACTTTTGTACTTTTATTTCTTTCTGAACATCAAAGAGATGTAGCATTCTTTAGGAGCAGATCTCCTGGACTGGAATTCTGCATGAACCAGGGAAACAAAAGGACTTCCTCAGACTCACAGTTAAGTGTTGAAATAAATTGTAAAACTACTCCACCTAGTGGACTCCCAGTCTGCTGTGAAAAATGTTCCACCATTTCTACAATAAAAGCAAGGTTTTGGAAACAAATCACCTCTCATTTTCCATAAAGCCAAATCATACAGCACTGGTACCGCACAGTTCAGGAATTAAGAAAGAACCACTATTTAGTGGCTTTTCGGTGGTTGGGGGGGATGGTAGGGAAAGCAGGCTATTAGTAGAAGCCTTAAGTTATTAAATACAGTGGGTACCTCTGAGTTTGACTAACCTGAAAAATACAGAGATGAAGAAATAAAGACAAAGATGCACTTTTGTTAAAGATAAGGAAGCCATATGCCAAGCAAACCTTTACAATTTTCTTTACGCTTTGAAATTCTTACTCTGCGAAATCTTTCACAAGCCTTTTCTAACATAGCAATTACATAAAGACTTTATTTTTCCTGAATGTCAAAGAATATAGTGGCTTCATCAGAAAGAATGCAGCTCTCACAGAAAGATTAAATTCATAAAAGGACTATTCGGCCATACCATGTGGAATTTACTCTTTTTAGGAGTTCAAGTAATATTTTTTAAAAATTGAGAATGACAGAAGTGTAGGAAGTAATATATTTTCATAATAAGGGCATTTTTGGTTTGTTTTTTTGTTTTCTATTGAGACAGAGTCTCACTATGTTGCCCAGGCAGGAGTGCCGTGGCACGATCCTGGCTCACTGCAACCTCTGCCTCCCGGGTTCAAGCAATTCTCCTGCCTCAGTCTCCCAAGTAGCTGGGATTACACGTGCATGCCATGATGACCAGCTAATATTTGTATTTTTAGTAGAGCCAGGGTTTCACCACGTTGGCCAGGCTGGTTTCAAACTCTTGACCTCAAGTGATCCGCCCACCTCGGCCTCTAAAATGGCTAGTAGGGGCAGTATTTGTGTATTTTAGAGAAATCTATCAAATGTACCAAAAGAGGAGCAACATTTCCCATATCTTCTATTAATAAAATATTCATATAGGAAAAAAATGAACACTTCAGAATATATTAAAGAGCAAGAACCTGAGAAACAAAATATGGAAGAACCTCAGATGAACTCAGCCAGTGCCTAAACAAATTCCAGAGCACTTACTAACCAGGCAACATCACAGGTACAAATAAACCTCATCCAGAATTGTCATCCTCACCCCATTTCCTCATTCCCTTTAAACACCTCTTAATTTCACAAACCTGTAACTTCACGTATTCCCTCAACAGATTTTGCTCATTCCCCTTCCAAGGTACTGTGCCTGCTGTCATAGCATACCTCTGGAAACCAGAGTTAGAGTCTATCCCCTCTGCCTCCACTTGTCCCACATTAAAACAATCACCAACAAGCCTATTAAACACTTGCTCAAGCTGATCTTTTATTCAGAAGGATAGAGCTGCTTCCAAAATTCACTTACAGT